CTCCTGCCCCAGCCGCACTCCGCCGAGCCTCCGCCGGCACCGGCGAGGCGGAGAACCCACCCCAGGCTCCGCGGCAACCCGGCCGAGCGAGCGGGGTCGCTCTCAGCCACGCCGGAACGCCACGGTGCGAGGAAACCGGGCCGAGAGCTGGCAGAGGAACCAAACCCGAGGCAGCTGCGAACAAGGAGCTACAAAGAACCGGCTTTATTGGGCGGCTGAGAGCCCCAGTCCGGCCCGGCGGGGACGGGGCTGCCCCGGGACATCAATTCCTCTTCCTGCCTTTGCCGACAGCCTTGGCGGGAGCAGCGACGGGCGCTGCGGACTGGTAGAGGGTGGAGGAGATCTTGTTGATGTAGTAGAGGCCGACCATGGAAAAGATGAGGCTGTGAGGAAAGAAGAGAAGAGGCTGCTGAGCCGCTGGCAGGCAGGAACACGCCAGGGCTGAACCAACACCTTCCCCTTTGATCCCGCCGCGCTGCGGTGCCTAACGCTGGCCACCCTGGGCGTCCGTGGCCAGCACTGGCCCTGCCCGGTGCTCCATTCCCCTCCCAATGGCAAGCATGAGCCACCAGGGTCCCTGGCAGCAACCGCAGCCTGGCTGCGCCAGGGCAGGCTCTGGACTCACCAGGTGGTCACGCAGACTCGGTGAATGAGGCCAGAGGCGAAGAGAGCCAGCAAGAGGCAGGTGAGGACTGCAGGGGAAAAACAGGAGAGAGAAAAGATGCAGCCGTGCTGCCCCAACGCATAACCTCAGAGGACAAAGCGGGAAAAACTCAGGGTGGGCCCTTCCTCCGGGACGGGGCTGGGACCCTTCGGTCCCACGGGCAGCGCGCACGGGGCAGGGCCACGCCGCAGCCCCTTCGCAAACCCAGCCCCGCCGCGAGCCAGCGCCCTCGACGCCTTCGGATGAGGCCGTGCTCCCCGTCCTCCCCGCCCCGCGCCCCTCCGCAGCACTTACTCTCGGGGAATATCTTGGCCTGGAAGCCTTTACCAAAGACGAGGTTCTCCAGGTTGTTGAAGGCCTGGTCGGAGGAGGGTTAAGGGACAGAACGGGGACACCGCAGCCCCGGCCCCGCTCCCCGTGGCCCCAAAGGATACGGTGAGGGAGCAGATGAAGAGCGCGGAGCCCAGCAGCCCGCCCTGGATGGTCAGCCACTCGGTGGAGGCCAGCTGCCGGCTGTACATCTGCATCCCGGCGAAGAGCAGCAGCGACAGCAGCGAGGAGAGAGCCAGGGAGGTGCCCGTGCCTACGGCTAGGGAGGTGGCCTCACCTCAGCACGGGCACCGGGGGGGACGGCGAGGC